AGAGAGAGAGAGAGAGAGAGAGAGAGAGAGAGAGAGAGAGAGAGAGAGAGAACAAAAACTAAGCTACATTATAATACCAGTACAATCTACTCAAATGATTAAATTTACCAGTATCTTTGCTTAATATCTATACTTTAAAAAAAAGAAAAGCAATGGACCAATCAAGCTCAGGGACAATACCAGCAGAGAAAATTTACTGCACAGCAATAGTGTAAAAGATATGACGACAAGTACTGTTACAATTATATGCTACAGTATCAATCTAATCTTAACGGACTGAAATTTACCTAAATATGTTCCATCCTTCTCATAGAGTTTCAAAATCTCTGACCAGTCCTGCAAGAAAAAAAAAGCATTACAAAAATAATATCATAAAGATGTCACAATGATCAAATTGCTGAGTAAAATGCCACAAAAAAAACAGCATTCTTATACAGAAAAAGTGGAAAATGAATGTAGAAGATAATGACATTAAAACAAGACAGTAATCATATTTAAAAGTCATCATTTATCACATGCAGGATCCCACCTCACTAAGATCAACAACATCTGGCCAAGGAAAGTGTATATCTAAAGCAAAATGAAAAAAACACGAAATTACACCAGTCACATTTCATCACAGAATGGTTAAAAAGTAAAGTTGTTCCCCTATCCGACCCAAACATAGGGAATTGCCTAATTAGTGAGACAACTTCCTGGGCCTTCAGCATATTATGGTAGGGTGGCCAGTTCCTTTCCACGCTGCCTTTACTTCCCCAACTTGAAGTCAGGCACCCATTTCTCCTATGTGGGCAGGAGGGGCCGAAAAAAATCTGTGTGCAAACTGAGGTTCGAACCCGGAATTTCCGCTTCAGAGAGGAGCGCACTAACCGCTCCATCTCCGCACATTATGGTAGGTAACATTAAAAAACCCATTTCAATTAGCATTGTGCTTACGATGTCATCAAACTGTTCAGACATACACATCAGCCACACACAAAAAATACCTATTATAATCAAAAGTTCTCAAATTAAAATTAAATGACAATTCCTAGGTTATCCTACAATGAGTGTCACTAATGTTACTCTATGCCAACAAAGTAACAGAGTGACTTGAGATGACTGAACTAACTGACTGAATCTGCAGCACCACAACAACTGAGCCTCCCCAACAAGAAACCACGGCAAACAGCAGCACTGAAAAGAAGTGGAATCAGCAAGAGCAGTGCTCACCAACCACCTGTCAAAGTCATGGTAAGAGAAGTAATGTCTTTTTATTTATTCAGTTAGTTCAGTTAGTGTTTTAAAGTCCTTGCAACACAATTAGGTCAGATATACGTGCCCAAGATTAGAGATCTTACAAGAGAATAACAAACACAAAATAGACAGAGGAGAGATAATGAGGATAAATGTTTTACACACAAAAAAAGGAGAAGACCACACCAAAGCACTTGCCAACCAACCACAACTAATGTCTAATTTTCTTCACATTTGCAAAAAGTGAACAAACACCTGTGCCTTACCTTCATGCACTGTACGGTAAACTGCCCAATGAGATTTTTCTTGCCAGCCTCTGTGACTTTGAGCAGGTCAAACAGTCGCTTCACTTGAAAGTAATTCAGCTCTGAAAGAGGGGTTTTTTTTGGTTTATGAAACAACAATTGAACAGCAGCACAAATGAGAAACATTTGCTTCAGCAACAAATCAATAATAACATGGAAAAGAGAGAGAGAGAGAGAGAGA